TTCCTAGTAAAGAAATTGTTCAGGTAATAAAGTGTCATGTGGGTTAGAGTTGAGGTTGTCATGATACAATATACCTACTTTTATGTTTATAAAAATCGGTGTTGGGTGGCATCATAAAAACTATGGGGTTTTATTTGCTGCCTTTTTGGTTTCCAGATCCTCCAGTTTTGCTAGATTTTTAATCTGGAATTATACAGATACCAACTGCTTACATTAATCACCTTGATGTGGTTTTATTGTTTTGTAATGTAGATCAGTCAGTTACAAGTGTACAGTTATATTTTGAACTGTAGAGCTATTCCTGTGTAGTGGAAAAATCTCGAAACTGCACTTACCATCTAGCATCACCTTAATCAAATGGTCGTTTTAGAGTGGCTGCGCAGCTTCCAAGCGTGCTTTCGGCTCGCCGCGTTTGTGGGCATGGAGAACTTCAGGAAGATTAGGACCAAATGTTGGCTCCTTCATTTCCTTCTTGTGTCTGAAAAGGACTGGAAATCCAGTTTGTAACAGACACCGAGTTGTCAGCTTTAATAGTTACTGTGTAAGTTACGGGTACTCTACAGCTGGTTATGGTTTATCTACCATGAAATGGTGCTTAACTGCAAACAGCTGGGCAGGAAATGGCAGCCTACTGAAACAACCATCGTAAAATATTTTTGGCCAGTCAACTCCCAATTAGAAGTGAAAATCTTATTTGTTCTGTGTATTTTCTTCATCTTTAGTGGCACTAGAGGTCCTATTTAGGATTCAAGATGCCGTTCTTCTTAAGCCTTTTCCGTGTCAGTAACACTTGAGGGTACCTCTACCCCTGGCCGCAATGGGCCCTCAAGCACCGTCCTGCTGCACAGCACCGTGGTGACCGAAATTCCCTCTCAGCTCTTTGCCACCCCAGGGTTAAGTTGTCCGTGATGGGCACCAAGGGTACCTGCAGTAACATGAAAGTCCTTCTTCGAGAAAATTGATAAACAAGCAATGAGATTTATATAACAAAGGAAGAAATACAAATGAAAGCCCAGGGTGTATAAGATACAGTGAAATTTTCTGTCAGTCTCCAAATCAACCAGAGGTTATCCTCTCCTGGGGTGGCGGGCTGCCCTTCCCCACTGCAGACGGAGTGCTGGCGTTGTTCACACTGTCACATCTGTTCCTTCTTGGATATCACAAAATTCCTTATAGTGAGCACAGGGCGTTGCAATGAGTCAGGATGTACCAGCTTCTCCACTTCATCTTAGCGGGGCAGTCTCGTGTCAAACATTTCCTGGTGCTTGAATGCTTGCTTTGGTTTTAATTTTTATTTTTAATTTTGACGTGTTTTTTTTTTTTTTTTAGGGGAACAAAGGTAATAAAACAGTCTTGAAAGTTTGCAGATAACAAAGGGAGGAAGATTCAGTTTTCCAACCTAAGAGGAGGAAAAGAAGAGGAAAATTACAACTGTACATCCAGAAGAAAAAGAAGTTCTTTCAAACTGTTGGGGCTTACACGTCTTTTTTGACTAAACTGGTCTCAGCATTTGTCTTTCTGTTGAGAAGTACTTTATGATGGGAAAGTGGAAGTTAACTTTACATAAACCCATTGCTTTAGTTTAAAAATATTTTACACATTGGACTCCCAATAACCTCCTTTGCTGTACAAATGATAAGAGACTCCAGAGTGTATTTCTCAAATGATTGACACCAGTCCTTTTTCAGAAGAGAAGGGGAATGCAAGTGCAGGAATAAGACTGAAGTCAGGAGATCTGAGTTCTGCTTTTGACTTTCCCTCTGACTTCTGTGATCTTGATAGATAGTGCGTGTTTTGCAGGTCCTAATTCTTAGTCTCTCATGAAAGTGGCCCTGAAAAGTAGTCTGTTAAATTAATAAAACCAAAATAATGATAATTTCTGATCGGTATAGAATTTACCTGTACCTGTATTTAGCTACCTCTCTCTGACTATACTAATAATATTCAAAGAGTTTAATGAGAGGCTTTTATGATCTTTATTAAATACTTCACAGTTCATACATGAAATGCGTTTTTTATTGTATGGAGGGTGGAAATAATTTCTTGTCCACCACCTGGTTTGGCTCAGAAAATTACTTTTGCAGTCTCTGAAATCCACATCAATTTATTACTTTAATATGAAAAGTTGTGGCTTTTGTTTTCTTTCTTTGTGGTTTTTTGTTTGTGGGTTTTTTTTTTTTTTTTTTAGAGAGAGTAACAGGCTCTTAAAGTTTCCTAAAAACATGAAAACTAACAATATAAAAACTTGCCTTTAACATATGAGGGCATATTTTACTTGAAAGCATGGAAAAATACCATTTGGTAATAGAGAGTACTTCTGTTGGAAGTTTTTAACTAAAGATTTTATGGCTTTTCATAGGATCTGTTACATGTGTTCTGTAAAATAATGTTCCTAACAGAGTGCAGTGGTATTCGATGCAATTTCGTTCATGATCCCTAGTGCAGAGGTAGCCTCCAGATCTTAGAGGAGGATTCTCTGTCTCCTACTTGCCTAAATATTTACAAACAATGAGTGTATTTCAAATTAAGTGCTTGTTAAAGGAGGAAAAATCAACAGGTTACTTTAAGCAGTTGCAGTAAGAATCACTATATTTTTATGGATATAATCTGGATCTCAGATAACTCATACTCCTTTCAGAGAAGTTGGAAGTAGGTCCTCCAAAAACTGCACGAAATCAGATTCCAGGGACCTGCTGAAGGGGGAGGGGAGAAGAATTAGGAGAGTGGTTCAGGGACAGACTTCCTTCTTCCTAATGCCTGTGTATAAACCTCATCAATATAGGTTGAAAAGAATTTATTCTTACGGATAGCCAGTGGGTTTAAACATGAAAATACAGTCATCCCCTTTCTTTTGGAGCAATTAGAATGGTCAGTTTTTATGTTTGTCACAGCAGGTATTTACGACACTGCTGTGGCTTGCACGGAGACCTGATCACTGTGTAAGCAACAGGCTTTGGCCAGAGAGTGGGCACAGAAATAGCCTAACTTTGATTTTGAGTTGTATTATTTCAAAGCCTCTGGGCTGGGAGTGTGGGTTCCTCAGGTGGGCTGGAAGGGGACTGTGATGAGTGCGGTGGCTTGTCCTGACAAGGGAAATGGCAGAGGCTTTTGTAGAGGTTTGGTGTTGTCCCCCAAAATGGGATTGGTTGTCTAAAAAGGGGTTGGTTCCTTGCTGCTTGTTCCTGGTGACTCACATCTGGCTTGTAGTTACACAACCACCAAAGCACTGGAGAATTGTGTTTGCTCTGTTTGATGTTGTATGGACTTTGCATTGGCAGTTTGATGGTTTATTGGTTGCTAAAGCATTAGGGAGCCCTAGCTACTACTTGCTTCCAACCAAAACATGGCTACATAACATCAGGGCTCCGTTTCCAGTTAGATTTAGAAAAAAACATAAGTATAGTAGTAAGTACTCTAGCAGGGAGACTTTAAGTTTATTTTTCCTTTCTTGAATTCATTGAGTTCATCTGTGGCGGAAAGTCTGCGCAGAATAGGTTATCTTATCCAGGACTTTATCTAGAACGGCAGAAATGGTTGTCTGCAGCATGTATTGCCCCTCACAAAACGATTCTTTTTTCTTGACAAAGTTGTTCTTTGCTGCTGCAAATAATTTCTGTACACCTGTTACAGAGGAGTAGTGTGGGACACTTCTAGTCCCCCAGTAGTGATTTCTGTAAATCCTATAAAGATGCTTGGGAGAGTTTCTGTGGGCACCAATGTCTTATTTTTTTGTTCAGAATCAAGAACAGAATGGGACCACAGGTTATGAGGAGAATCTAGAAAGGAGGGGAAAAAC